AAACGAGTCGCACATACACCCTAGTACATGTTCCTCGACGCTGAGGGCACCCCCGAAGAGCGGGGGATTTCGTGACATTTCTGATTGGCTGTCTTGTATTTCTAATAAGTTGTTTAATAGTTGGCATGTTGAATCGTATACATAATATGATGGGTTGGTTTAGATTGATCCTAACCGAATGATGGTGAATTACTTCTATTTAATAGAATATTCAATTCGAAGATAAAATCTCAAATCACAGATTTGCGCGAAATCCATGTTATTTTCCTTGAACCGCTACAAAATCAACAATTCCATAAGCTTGGGCTTCTGTTGCTGACATAAAAATATCTCTTTCCATATCTTCGTGTACAACCCAGAAGGGTTTGCCCGTTCTTTCTGCATAAACCCTTGTGAGGGTTTCACGCAGTTTCATCAGTTCTACCGCTTCCATGACAAATTCGCCTACTTGTGCCATATAAAAAGCACTATAAGGTTCATGTATCATTACCCTGATGATATAACAAAATAAAAGCTTCCCCTATCTCGCATGATAAAGCAAAGAGAAAAGAAAGATAAAGAATAGAAAAAAGATAGAATTGAACAACCGTACAGGCATCTTTTGTGCATACGGCTCTACAAGAAAATTGACCCCCCTCCTTTCTATTGAAGAAAGAGAAAATAGAATCTATCAGACTCAGATGGGTAAATAATCAAATTGCCATCCTTCCTTTCGGAGGAGTTCAAAAATACTATGATGGCTCCGTTGCTTTATATGTTTATTTTTTCTTTTTTTTGTCTGTGATTCAGCAATCCCAAAGTTTCTTTTTAATCCGATCAAATAAGGAAAAAATCTTTTTTTTTTCGTACTCTTTCATAACATAAATATTGTTAAGAACTCTCCGGCATGAAAACAAATAAGTTTGTGACGCTGAACTGAATTCCCGATAGATAAGAGAAAATCGGAAATACCCCTTATCTCATACTACTCTCTCGATACAGAATCTAATGTTTTGAAAAAAATACAAAAATTTCTCATATCGAATTCGAAGTGCCATGCTATTATTACTTAGTATTCATATGGCGAAGGCATAGTCTTCTTTTTTCTCTCAAATAAAAACCTCATTGGCGCCAAGCGTGAGGGAATGCTATACGTTTGGTAAGTTGTCCTCCGGCCAGGATAAAAGATCCCATTGAAGCAGCTAATCCTATGCATATTGTATGGATATCTGGTCGCACAAATTGCATAGTATCATAAATGGCGATCCCAGGTATTACCCAGCCCCCAGGAGAGTTTACAAACAAATATAGCTCTTTGTTCTCATCCTCCATACTGAGATACATCATAAGACCAATAAGTTGATTCGAAAGATCGGTACTAATCCCTTGGCCTAAAAAAAGTAATCTTTCTCGATAAAGTCGGTTGATTAGGGTAAAATTGTATCCCTTAGGAACCGTACATGCGCCTTTTGATGCATACGGTTCAAAAAAATTGTGAATCAATGTATAGATTCCAGTCCTCTTTCTTTTTTTCTACAAGGGCTCTTTCTTACTTCTAACGAAAGGGCTTTTCTTCGATTTTTCAATAAAGACGAGTTTTTACTCCTTTTTGATATTTTCGATTTTCCATTATAAAATTCGAAGTTATAAGAAAGGGTCATTAAACTTATCGAATTAACTTCTCATTGATGTATTCTTTCATCGAGATTTAATCCAAACCGCGATGGTATTTTCTTGTTCCTGAATGGGTCTGTTTCATCTTTTTAGGTTTATGCTCTACTCCGGGTAAAGATCCGCCCGATTTGGATTTGTACATATAGGACAAATGCTCCCATTACCATTTCTTTTTGTATTTCTTTTTTTTTGCAATTCATTTTATACAAGTAGTTATTAGAGTTGAGATAACTTTGCTTGACAATTAGGATCTCTTTACAAAGAAAAAATATGAATAGCAATCATAGATATCTTACCAATCCAATTGGGTTTTTTCTAAACGGAGCCTGGATACTTCATTTATTTAGTCCAACCAAGCCAACCATAAATTATTCTAATTGATAATAGTAATATGAATCCCCTCAAAAATGGATCTAATTGCACTTCACGCTCCAAATTTTTGATGATTCAATTTATCTTTCTTGGGCGAAACGGGGGATATCTCGATCGGGGGAGAGAACGGGGAAATACCATATGACCCAATATATCTGACAAGTCGCACTATACGTCAACCCAAGATGAAATTGGATCTCCAGGATTTCGGAATAGAACTTTTGGAACACCAATAGGCATTAAATGAAAGAACGAATTAAATACTATATTTCACTTTGAGGTGGAAACGTAACAATTTTTTTTTTATTGTCTTTATAATATTCATATTGGTTTTTATCGTATTTATTTTATCCATAGATTCTCAAAATTCATAAAGAAAGACAGAATGAATAAACTCAAATTATTACGAATAGGTCTTTCTAATGATAAATAAGTATGGACTCATTCGCTCATAGAAAATGGGATCAACTCCCCC